CTCTGGAGTAAGAGAGGTTACAGGACAGTCTCAGACAGACCTCTTATCTATGATTTCATTTTCTCTATCAGTAGCAAGACTTTTGTTGTCATAAAACCTCACAATTCTCTGCAATAATAGTTTTAGCATCAGAACTGGATGTTAGCCTGTGTTTTTGGACTCTTAAATGTTTTTTTACCCGAGTGCATCTTTGAAATGGCTTTTCAACTTTTTTGAAGTAGTGCATCTGATATGCTATTTTCCTAAATAATCTTAAAAATGAGTTCTAAAACAAATTTCAAGTATGAATTTACATATTAATTTTGATTTTTCTTTCTCCACTGTGCTGCTAACCATTCAGTTGGATATAACTAGCTGGTAGCCTGCTCCTATGAAACTGAGCTATAAAACATGGTAGGATTACTTCAGGGCCTTATTAACAGTATTTTGCAGCCTTGTTACTGTTCTGAAGCATGCATTTTTCAAAGCCTGGAGCCATTTAGAATGAGTATATTGAGAGAGTTTTCTTCATGCACATAAGTTATTAGAAGAAAACAAGACTGTTTTACTGAGATACTAGACATTGTACAACAGATAGGCCAGGTCAGACTCTTGTATGTTGAGGGCACACAGAAGGATGAAGTGAATCAGGTGCCATTAGATGCATGCTTTACTTTCCATAGTTCAGCATTGTCACTCAATTCTGTGAAAGAGGAAAAAGAACATTGAGCCTAAGGGTTAGAGCATAGGAGGATTTAGGATCAATAAGATTTTTGTGAGGCTGTGAGAAGAATTTGAGGTAGTTTGACTCAAAATGAACCCCCTCCCCAACTGCTATTAGTTGTAATTGAGGACATAGGGTTCACCTCTCTTTGGGTGTTCCTAATATTTGAAGGGTTTTCACCCTTAGAGTGAATTTTACATGATAAGCACATTACAGTAATAGAATTTTTAATGTACTTAGGAGCAAACAATTCAAGGCATTCCAGTATGCATTTTAAAACAATGAGTTTTTATATTGACAGTTGCTCAGGAAAGGAAAAAAAAAACTCACTCATGAAATGACATTTGAGCGGTTGATTTCTATGCAGTGGATTCCTTGAGGGAAATGTGCTTTAATAGTAAAGAAAGAATACAGATGGAATCTCATTTATAACTAGAATTCTTACAAGGATTTTTATACAAAGGCTATTATCCTTCTTTAATGATTATCTGATTAACTCTCCCCAGTTGGTATAATAGTTGCAATAAAGTACAAGAAATAATGACTTGAGCTGGAAGAGACCTAAGAAATAATGATTTTGTCCTAACTGCTTACCAAAGTGGGTTCCAGAGAGAGAGCCCCATTTGTTTGCTGAAGATCTCACAGCTCTGAGAGCTAGAATTAGAGTCCCAGTGTTCTGTATTTGAGTTCAGAGCTCAAGTTCACATACTCTAGCATTATATATTTAAACATCCAGGCTTGGAGAACTTAGATACTACCTCATAGCCCTTACCCTTTAGTCTTTGCTTCAAACTCACCTAAATTCTTTGGCCATTTCTTCAAATCAACAAGAGAACTATCAGGACAGATGAAAAGTGGGAAAGGGGTCCCAGTGTCTTCCTGTCAAGTTCCAGGTATTACTTCTGACTTGGTAACTCTCTGTGAAAAGACCCAGCTTTGCTCTCCTTTTCCCCTGGGCATCTCCTACCTGTTCCCTGGACCCCACCTTTTCTCTCTCTTTGTTCCATCAACCTTCTTTGTCAAATTGTTTGTGCTCTTGGATTCTCTCCAATAGGCCTTCAAATATGTTTTCCTTTAATAAAGATTTCCTTTAGCACAACTCTTTTTTTTGTTTGTTTTTGGGTCTGGTAGTTGGGCCTGAACTCTGTGCCTGGGTGCTGTCCCTTAGCTCTTCAGCTCAAGGCTAGCGCTCTACCACTTGAGCCACAGCACCACTTCCGGCTTTTTTCTTTTTGCTTATGTGGTGCTGAGGAATCGAACTCAGGGCCTCAGGCATGCAAGGCAAGCGCTCTACCACAGAGCCATCTTCCCAGCCCACAACTCTTTCCGTTAAGGATGTTTTTAAGAAAATAATTTGTTATCATTTTCAAATACATAGAAGACTAGAAGGATACTAGGACATTTAGAAGGATGGAGGGAGGATAGTATGACATTATATGTAAGTAAATGCCAAAATGTTTATTATCTAAGTCCTGTTTTCTAGTGGGAGTGTGGTATGTTAATATAGAATTCTTTGGTAGTTCACACAAGAAATGTGATTTTGACACATGTATAACTTTCTTACATGCTATAGCTTTCCAAGAATGTGAAATTAGATTGTCTGGGAATGAATTTGAAGAAAGTTTTACATTGGAAAGGGGTGTGATTGAGAGCACTAGAATTCAAACTTGTGTGATTGTATTGTAAATTTTATAGTTATGTGATATGGAAACATATATTTTTCTGCATAGTCAAATATAAATGTCCTTTCAAAAAAGGACAAATAAAAACACATGATTCTTATATTGGTTATTTCATCTTCAACAATATTTAATAGAATATTTTCTTTGGTGATTAAAGGAAGATATTTCTCTTTATAATATTAATAAATTCAAATGTGAGCAGTCAGTAGTGTCCTCAGAAACAGTATGGACAGTTTTTGTAGTGTAGGATCTGTGCTGAAATATCCAGTTTTCATACATATTATTTTTTTTTTGGGGGGGGGGGGTCGGGTCGTGGGGCCTGAACTCTGGGCCTGGACGCTGTCCTTCAGCTCTTCAGCTCAAGGCTAGCACTCTACCACTTGAGCCACAGCGCCACTTCTGGCTTTTTTCTTTTTGCTTATGTGGTGCTGAGAAATCGAACCCAGTACCTCAGTCATGCAAGGCAAGCGCTCTACCACTGAGCCACCTCTCTAGTCCCCATACATATTATTTTGACAAGCCATCTTTTCCCTGCCCTCTCACCCCCCATCAAAAAATTCAGTAATAGTAACCATACCTTAAAACCATGTGCCATCACTGTTGTAAACGGAGTCCTTTGGGTAATTTTTAGTGTCTGTGGTTTGTTTAAAACAAGAAAAAGATCACTTCTTAAGGTCTAAATGGTCTGTAGAGCTTTCTCTCAGGCATGAAATTTAAAGCACTGGGTTGGATCTTTGCTGAGAGTGGCAAGCTTCATTGTAAACCATCAGCATCATATACCCTAGCTTGAGAGCGGTGGGCAAGACAAGTGTCTGCTACTCCATGATCCTGGCCTAGGCATACATTCTGTTGGCTGCCCCTTCTGCCTGTCCCAGCTTGTTGCTTGATTTCTTCCCGTTCTTCACTTGGTTCTTGTGATCTGAGTTTAATAAAATGATTGCAATGGCTGCAGAAAGAGAAAAAAGTAAAGGTTGATAAGAGGAAAATGCAGTCAATGTAGTGCTGGTGCTGGAGGAACTATGGTGCTGGAGGAACTATGCATCTTAATCCATCTCTTCTGGTGGTAGGATTACTTCAGTTTATATTGTTCCGGGAATGGGGGCAGTATTTGAATACTCTAATGCGGAAGTAAGAGAGAGGGAATAGAAAGAAATGCCTGGCTTTCTGGCATCTGGGTGTGTTCAGTACAATTTCCATTGCTTGGATCTTGCATAGTTTTTCCTTTCTCAAGCTTAGCTCGTCTGACTTGTCTTATTTTTCCTTTCTTTGCTAGGCTTGCTTGCTTGCTTGCCAGGCTGTCTTGCTTGCTTGCTTGCTTGCTTGCTTGCTTGCTTCCTTCCTTCCTTTCTTCCTTTCCCAATCCTGGGGCTTGAACTCTAGGTCTGGTCATTGTCCCTGAGCTCCTTTTTGCTCAAAGCTAGCTCTATCACTTGAACCCCAACACTATTTCCAACTTTTTCTGTGATTAACTGGTTTTTCCTGCCCAAGTTGGATTTGAACCACAATCCTCAGATCTCAGCCTCCTGAATAGCTAGGATTACAGGTGTGAGCCACAGCACTTGGCCCAGGTATTCTTTATACTATGTTCTCTGTATAAATTATACATTGTGAATCCTCAGGTATCTGTCTCTAAAGTGCAATTGGATAAGCATTTTGGTCTAAAAAAAAAGTGATATGGCCGGGCGCTGGTGGCTCACGCCTGTAATCCTAGCTACTCAGGAGGCTGAGATCTGAGGATGGCGGTTCAAAGCCAGCCCGGGCATGAGAGACCGTGAGACTCCTATCTCCAATAAACCACCAGAAAACTGGAAGTGGTGCTGTTGCTCAAGTGGTAGAGCACTCACCTTGAGCTGAAGAGCTGAGGGACAGCGCCCAGGCCCAGAGTTCAAGCCCCACGGCCGACCAAAAAAAAAAAAAAAAAAGTGATATGAATTGTTTCTTTCTAGAAAAGATAGAAATTCCTTAAGAAAAGAGGGCCAGGAGTTGTATTGTAGTCAGAAGAATGAAGAGTCTAACTTCCTAAGAAGGGGTACTGGATTGGGAACCTACAGACTTAAAATTCTGTTTACATCAAAAGTATTCATGACATTGGCTAAGATATCAATCCTATTTCAACTGCATTCTCTCTCTTCTCAAGATCATTTATAAATTCTTTCTGAGACCTAACTTAAAGGGTTTTAGGAAGCATCTTTAAAAAGGGTTTGATTTGGAGCCAATTGGGTGTACATGTTCCTCTCCTTCCTTTGAAGAGAATCTTAGAATCCTGGGGCTCAAAGAATCTCAAGAAGTTCTTTCAGTTTTCAATCTCTGGGATAAACCCGAATACTTTGATTTTCCTCATTATTATCATTATATTGTCTCAATAGAAGGGGCTAGCATGTTCTCAGAAATAGTCTTTTAATAATAAAATACATACATACATATCTATCTATCTACACAAGTCATTTTCCTCTAGTATGTGATTTCTGTAGCCTCTCTCACAGACATTTCTTTCTATGTGCCTTAGTCCTCTCCTATTTTCTTTAAATTTAGTTTTTCAAAATTATTAATTCTTACAAGTTTTCTGTTCTTATGTCCTAGAAATCCTTTTGGAAGATCCTTTCATCTTGAATAGTTCCTACCCTGATGCAGGAGAGGGCTTGTTTTGAATACTCCTCAACTATTTCCATGTTTAACTCTACTCCCCACAAAGAGCTTCACCTGTAAGTTGGCCCAGACTCAGCACGTCAGGTTCCCTTCCACACATTTTGTGGTGGTGACAGGGAGCCGTTCCCAGGGCTCCTGTGGTGTCCTCCTGTCACCCACTTGAACATAGATGCCCCTGTTTTGGCGCAAGTCTGCAAATTTTTATCACAGATTTTGTTTTTCAGCTCTGATCATTGTGAGTACTTTTTTCTGAAGTTCCTACAGTCTGTGCACTAAAGGAAGTCACATTCTGAACTCTGCCCAGTGTTTTCCTGGCTGATGAACCTGGGAGATACTGCCTGTATCTTTCTGCTTCTGTCAGAGTACCACATACCTGGGCTGTATTTGGTGTTTGCTCATGACTCCTCTTTTTCTCCTGCCAGACTGTGGTAGTAAGGGTTCCTTTATGTTTTATCCACAGAATTCACCTTTCATTTGTAGATACTCTACTTTGTACTTACACCTCAAAAGCACCAACTTATTTTGGTAGATCATTACTTTATTTTTTTCCTTGTCAGTCATGGGGCCTGAACTCTGGGCCTGGGTGCTGCCCCTCAGCTCTTCAGCTTAAGGCTAGTGCTGTACCACTTGAGCCACAGCGCCACTTCTTGCTTTTTCTGCTTATATGGTGCTGAGAAATGGAACCCAAGGCCTCATGCATGTAAGGCAAGCACTCTACCACTGAGCCACCTTCCCAGCCCTTGGTAGATCATTTCTTTTTTTTTTTTGTCAGTCATGGGCCTGAACTCTGGGCCTGGGCGCTATCCCTCAGCAATTCAGCTCAAGGCTACCACTCGACCACTTGAGCTACAGCACCACTTCCGGCTTTTTCTGCTTATGTGGTACTGAGGAATTGAACCCAGGGCTTTATGCATGCAAGACAAGCACTCTACCACTGATCCACCTTCCCAGCCCCGCTTGGTAGATCATTCCTAACTGACTTATTAAGATTCTATTATTCTTCAGAAGAGCTAGAAACTTTCACCTAGTTTAGAACCACAAGTTGAGATGCTTTCAATTCATTAGACAGTCATTGATTAAAATTTAAAAAAAAACAAACAACCAAAGCCTCAACCACATTGGGCCCAGGAGTCTGACTGCTGTTTTATAATTCTTCTAAATAGTGTTAAGCCATTTTATTTCTGTCAACTCATGGCTCTTTATTACTCTTTTTTTTTTTAACTCTACAAACATAGTTGATATCATGCTTAATTATGGAAACAGGACTCAAGTGATGCAGTATAATAATGGGGAACTGTGCTTGGTTTTATGGAAAGAAGAAAATCAACAATTGTTTAATATGTGAATAGAGCTTCATATTGTAGTAGCAAGACAAGAGAAAATAAAAAGACTTGAGGATAAACATCTCCTTTATAATACCTATCTTTGATTTAAACTTAACGGTTAGCATCTTACTTAGCATATGAACATAACAAGATATACTTTGTGTTATTGTCATTACAGGTTCTAAAGGTAACCATGAAAACAGAAGAAGCTACATTTCTGATGTGATGCTTGAAAGTTAATGACTGCCTATCACGTTTTTGCGAACATTAAGTATGACTTAGAAGCTTTGAAGGTTTATGATGTCATCAGTTTCGACAGAAAGCAAACTCCAGCCTGCAGTGAGCCTGCAAGGAATTGACCCAGAAACATGCATGATTGTGTTTACAAACCACTGGGCACAGGTAATGTGTGAGCTCCGCCTTCTCCACTGGCCTCAGAGCCCCACCAGCCTCTGTCACACACAGCCAGGGTTTTCTACCTGTGTGACTGATAACTCAGTTTTCAGAAACACAAGGAGGGAAACCCTCTTAGATAGAAACAAAAGCAACATTCTCTTCTTGCTTTCCTATCATAGATACCCAGTTAAAAAATATCATTCCCCTCCCTGCCAGGCAAAAAAAAAAACACTTAGGAAACATGCTTGTTCCCCAGGTAATTTTAGAATAACAGCAATCATTCCTTGAAATGACTTTTACATCACCTTACAAAACTCTTCACCATAGTTATAAGCTCTCCCTTTGGTCCTTTTCCCCTCCTGATCCCATCCAGTCCTTAAACTCTACTAAATACACATTTGTTAAGGATTTACCAAGTATTGTGCTTTCTATCACTCAATTTCCACAGACCTACAGAGTAGTATTAACTTCCTCATTTTACAGACGAGGGAATGGAAAATTACAGAGGTTAAATAACTTGCTTGAGGTTCTATAACTAGTGAGTTACCAAGTGAGCCCTTAGATTTCACTCCCTTGACTCTAAAGCCCTTGTATTTGACCTCAGCACTCTACCATTTTCAGGCTGGTGGCCGCTGTGTAATTTAAGGAAAAATGTCAGGCTATATCTAAATATCTGTCTTCTTTACAAAGCTGATTTTTTTTAAAAAAAATTATTTATTTTGGCTTCTCTGACTCTTCTCTGATCTACTGGTGTAGATAATTAAGGGTTGAGTGTTCAGAAAATTGACTAGCCTTCCCCTTTCCTCAGGGAATTTATCAGTAGTAAAATAAACCAAATTGGCATTCTTTACTATTTGTTCAACATTACACTCCCATGTGAGCTGGTAAGTGGCTATTTCTGTGACAGTCTTTTAGTGACTACCTAGCTCCTTCCTGTGTCCAGAAACAACACATGAGTTAAAGCATCAAACCTGCAAATCACAGCAATTTTAGGAGACATCGTTTAAATAAAAAAGGAACAAAATTAATATGGCTTGTGGGCTGTTCACACTTTGTAGCTTCTTGTCACCATCTAGGATAAAGCTTCCATGAATTTTTGTGCATTCCCCATTCTCTGACTTTTTGTTGTTCAAATTTCAATGGATTATCTGTGGACATGGTGGTAACATCTGCAGTAGTAAAGGGAAGAAAGTATTTCAACACCTTTTCCTCTACTTTGTATTTTTTTTGTAGTATTCTAAAATTGATTCCAGAGTGAAGGGGTGAGCCCTACCGGAAACTGCTGGTAGTGCGCTGGGTATGGGAAGATACAGGAAGGCCTGTATCTCTCTTTTTCTTCAAAACTTTTCGTATTTTGTGTTTACAATGTACATAGTATAATTATGTATTAGTGCATTGTGTTTATTCATTAATTAAGCTATTGATGCTTTTTTTTGGCCAGTCCTGGAGCTTGAACTAGGCCTGGGCACTTTCCTTGGGCCTCTCTGTGTTTAAGGCTAGTGTACCACCACATGTGCTAAAGCTCTACTTCTGGCTTTTTTCTGTTTATGTGGGAGTGAGGAATCGAACCCAGGACTTCGTGCATGCTGGGCAACCACTCTATCACTAAGACACATTCCCAGCCCCTGATGCTTATTTTTAACTGCTTGGAATGCACAATCAAGTTAGAAGTGTTTTTCAGATCCAGTCATCTCATTTGATAGATGGAATCTAGCTCTCTAATACATAGTCTTTGCTCCAGAGCTCCATCTTGTTTGTTGTTTGGATATACTTCTTTGGTTACAATTACTTCTCTGGATATCTGTGATGTATGCCTTTGGTAGTCCATGCCATTCTTAAAGGGATGTTGTAGCCTCAGCTTCATGATTATATGTCAGCAAGTTATTGCCCTGTCAAATTCTGTCCCAGTCAAGCTTTTTATATAGTGTGGCAGTGCTGTTAGAATGTCCTGTTCAGAAACATGTCATTGATCTCTCACACTGGTGAATTTTTTGTGTCTATGTTGGTCCTGAGCCTTGAACTCAGGGCCCCGGCATTATCCCTGAGCTTTTTTGTCTTAAGGCTAGTGCTGTGCCACTTGACCCACAGCTTTTGGTAGTTAACTGGAGATAAGAGTCTCATGAACTTTCCTGGCCAGGCTGGCTTCAAACCTTGATTCTCAGATCTCATCCTTGAGCAGATAGGATTACAGGTGTGAGCCACTAGTGCCTGGCTTGAAAAAATAAGTTTGGTCCCAGGTCATATTGTAACGAAATCCCAGGATACACATATCATATGGGTTTGGAAGCATATTGCAGGTACTTAGCATTCTCCTTTTCTTGCAAAAAAAAAAAAAAAAGTAAGAACTTTGTCGTATATAGTCATTAAATACTTTCTTGTGCAAAGTGAGGACTGTTCTGGCTTAGTTATTTCTCTAACTTTGGTTGGTTATTTTCTTTTTGAAAATCTTTTGAGGCTTAACTTTTCATTTTTTTAAATTTTTTTGGTCAGTTGTGGGCCTTGAACTCTGGGCCTGGGCACTGTCCTTGCACACTTCAGTTCAAGGCAAGAGCTCTATTCCTTTAGTCACAGTGCCACTTCCATTTTCTAATGGTTTATTGGAGGTAAGAGTCTCATGGACTTTCCTGCCCAGGCTGGCTTTAAACATGATCCTCAGATCTCAGCCTCCTGAGTAGCTAGGATAGGTGTGAGCTACCAGAGCCCAGCTAAAGAATTTATATATATCGGTAGTGGGACTTGAACTCTGGGCCTGGGCACTGTCCCTCAGCTCTTCAGCTCAAGGTGAGAGCTCTACCCCTTGAGCCACAGCACCACTTCTAGTTTTCTGAGTGGTTTTATTGGAGATAAGAGTCTCACAGTCTTTCCTGCCCGGGCTGGCTTTGAACCGCCATCCTCAGATCTCAGCCTCCTGAGTATCTAGGATTACAGGCATGAGCCCCTGGCACCCTTAACTTTTCCTTTTAAACAAATCTTAAAAATACTCATAGTTTTAGTCTGCAGAGGTCCCGAGGGCTTTTTCGGTACCTTATGAATGAGAGTACTGGTTGACAAAGTCTTGGCTGGCAAATGGCTATTGTTCTTGAGGGGTTTATTTAGCTCATAGTACTAATACATCCCTGTCTGCATCCCAGGTGGGATTTAAGCTGGGAGCCTTGGCCTGGGCTTTTAAGAAATGTACAAGCTAATGTGGATGAGTAAAAATCCTTATCACAGAGTGATTAATGGTGGCTTCTCCCTGGGAAGGAGCTGGTATGGATGGAAATGGTCTGGTGAGTGGGAAAAGTGATTGTTTTGTGTTTGGTAACTTAGCTGTGAAAAGGGAGGGAGAAAACTTTTTATGGTATGAATATTGGAAATGAATAGTTTTAGCCTTTTTTGGATTGTGGGGGGGAAAGCTGGAGAAGACAAAAAGTTTCAGGATAAGATATTTGGGTTGGAAATGAGAGACCTTCAGCTGGTAGAAATGAATGTTGTGTATTCTTTGTTTTGGAGTTTCAGATGGCATTCTTTGTAATGAGTTGTTCCATTGGAGAGGAAGAGCAGTAGAGAAATGTGTTAAAATCTGACTCACACCTCTTGCCTGCTGGAATTGCAGTTGCTGCTTTCCTGAGAAAATCCTAGAAATTCCAGAAGGGATGTAAGATCAGAAATGTGGCAAAGACAAGACAAGATGGCAACATGTTATTTATTGAAGTGTCTATTAGCTGAGTAGAGCAATGCTTTTATGTGTGATAATAAGAGGAAATGAAGGTACCAAAGTCTGTAGGACTCAGAGTTCTCTGATAGAGCCCTTGAGTGAAAAATACAACACAAATGACCTGCATTTGACTGATTCTGTTCTGCTGTTTATCAGTAACATCTGTTTCAGAGCGGTCATAGATGGAAGATAGCCTCTGGCCCAAATTTTGCCCTTCTAGTTATAGTATCTTGTCTCAAGCACCATGTCGCTGTCAGAGGAGTTGTCTAACTAGCTAGGATCATATTCAAAGCAGATTGTGACTCTGGAGCTTACCAGGAGATAGACATGGATAGTTCCAGAGGTACTTTGAATTTCCGAATTGCTCCCTGGTCCAGTGACCTGTGGCAGCCCCAGAATAGTTCTAGAGTAGGCATTCAGGAGTAACTGCATGCCTGGTAAGTGACTGAAGAATGTGGTTAGGAAATAGCACCTGCTTGTACTTCCTCACACCTTCTGAATGGCCACCTTGCCACTTAAGTTGAGGTGAACCTACAACCAAGACCTTTCTAGGTTGTCCCTTTTGTTGGACCTTCTAGCGGCATCTGGCCACCCACAGGCCCTGTTGGCACACAGAGTTCTTTATGCCCTTTTTTCATTCCTACGTCTCATTTAGTCATGAGAAATACAAAGCTACTTAGAGTTTCTGGCCACCTACTCCCTGGTTTCATGCCTCTTTGCCTTAGCACTTGCTCTTGTTTCTGCCTGAGTATTCTGCTGCTTGGCTAAATGCTTTTCTTTCTCCAGAACTGTTTTGAACTTCATTTGCTCTGGAAGCCTTTTCCTGCTGTCTTTTATGCTGTGTTGCAACTTCACCCTGAGTTTTCTTTCACTGTTAAACATTTTATTGCAATTATGGATACATTATCTTCTTTCCAACTTCACTGTGAGTGCCTCCAGATTAGCACCATTACTAATTTATCTACATTTTCAGTGTTAAGAACTGAGTGTGACATATTATAGAGGTTTAATGAACTGTTGAATTGAAAGGTAGAAAATAAGAAATGCAACTGCAGAAGATCTGAGAGACGGGCTGGGAAGGTGGCTCAGTGGTAGAAGATCTGAGAGATATAGGAAACAGCTTCAGTCTTATATACTATTTTGAAGACATTGCACAGTTCGCTTCTAGGAAGTTCTTTGGATTTGGTTTGAATTCATTGATCAGAAATAGTATATATATATATATATATATATGTATGTGTGTGTTTAATTTTTATAGTCACTTTCATGAACACTTTATAATCTAGTATATTGTTTTTATCTCTTATAT